TTCTGCGCGACTTCGTAATTCAAATACAATTGCCCACCTTTCCATACCCTGAGTATTCAAGCTCGGCTGTTACAAAAGCGTCTGGTCAACTGCAGTATGGATTGGATTGGATTTTCCGCAGTGCCGTATATCTGAAGGTCGTATAAAAATTGTGAAGGCGGATAATCAGAGAAGGGTTCTTTGCTCGTGAGCATAGGTGCTAGGGTGAGCAGAAGCTCACCCCCCCCCCCTCCTTCTTCACGTTGGAGCCTGCAATTCCTTCCTTTCTCCTTCATCTGGAACAAGGGGAAAATTTGTTTGTGAGAGTGTAGTACACGCGAAATTATTAAAAAAACGGTAAAAAAATACATTTTTATTAGAATCGAAAGCGAAATGTTATAAACATGATTTCGACCGAAAATTACATGGGCAATGGACAATAGCAAACACTCAGAGGCTTGAGAGGCGATGATGGAGAGTTTTACCTGGAACTTAAAATGTAATGATGTTAATAAAAGACTTTGAGATGATTATGAAATTATTGTTGCAAATAATTGGAATGTGGTATCTAGTACAATGAAAGAATTTTCTATTTAACTGTGCCCACTTGAAGCACAATAAACGTGTAGAATGTAACACAGTGATAAGAATAGTATAAATGATGTTAAAATAAGTTCCTAGGGCAGTAAAGTGAAGTTACGATTTTGGTGATATTTAAGCAAGGTCAGTTTTTCAGCTAGTATAACTTGAGTGACTTGCAGCAGCTGTAGGATGATATATATTAGGTTCCAGAAGTTCGTAGCGTTTTCGTTTCCCTCCTCAAGTTTTTGGGAAGTGCTTGATATGAGGCAAAATGCATAACGTCAGAACGGGCCGATTATGCTCATTAATATGTACTTACTAATTCGAGTGGAAAGCTAATCTACTCGGATCTCTTGCCTTCCAAGTATGGAAACCTCAAAAGGCAAAAAGAGCAATTTGGACATCTGCGCATTTTTTCTCATAAAAAGAAGCGTTTTCGCACAGATTTTTATCGATTGTGGAAAACGCGTTCGCCAGTCAATGGGAGAGGAAAACTTTGGATTGCTACGGAAGACGAAGGGCTGAGTAGGGTCCCTGAACAAGACTCTTCGGGGGATGGGCAGGATGTCCTGCACTGAAAATTGCTGGACAAGAAGAAGAGGTCGACCATACCGTATGCAAACCAGTCTTAATGAGGTCATACCGCAGAAAAAGCTAAAAAGACGGATTCAGTGAGTTTTTCTGCATGACGAAGCATGACCTCATACGGCAGACGTCGTCAAAACTGTCCTGCAAGAACTGACTAGGAGGTACTTCAGGTACCCAAATTGCTCCTTAAAGGCATTGTCCACTCAATCGATTTGTTTTTGTCTTTTTTAGCACCTCTTGCGCCCGCTGAGTCAGAATAGAATCCGCAGTCGACGAACACTTCTTGAGCCAGCCAGTCAGCTGCGGGCAGGCTGCAGGCCCATCGCAGCGCAGAGGCGCTCTCTCGCATGATTAATTCGACTTCTTGATCATTGCGCGGTTAAACACTGAGTGGGCGGGATGATCGTACCGCCTACTTGTTATAAAAAAGCCAACGTGGCGAATCCGCCTTCTGAAGGATTTTCGAAGCGATTTTCTTGTTTTGGAAGCACTTCAGACAACGCTATTTGGGCAGTTATACAGCTGAGGGACCCGCAACTATTAGACATGGAAATCTCCTAGACCTTATTTTGGGTGGACGGTGCCTTTAAACCTCGCCCTATCAGACTATCATTTGTTCTCCTCCCTCGAAAACCTTATAAATGGTGCATATTTCACTTTAAGTGAGTAATTTGAGCGCTGGTTAGATGAATTTCTTGGGACCTGGCGCGCTACCGTTCGGAAAATTGAGATTATGAAGCAGACAGAAATGTGGCAAAAGGTTGTGCGCTAAGTCGAAGAATACATTATTGATTGATTTTCAGTGAAAACTGATGATTTTGTTGGTTTATAAAAAAGCTACGACCACACGGAATGACCTGGCAATTCGTGAGGTCCAATATTTTTGCGAGGTGATGTGATTTTACGGTATCCTCCCTCCCCCCCCCCCGGTCCTCTCCACGTACAAAGCCTGATATTTCGACGATGGGGGCATTGATTGTATTTTTTTTTGCATTTTATACAGTAGGGTTCACTTAGTATTTATCTACATCCTCGCAAAGAGATTCCACGCGACCGGCTATCTCAAATTCAAATTCACGTCTGTTTTTTGGTCCAAGCGCGTGTAAGAATGGCTTTCGCGCACTTGCCTAGGGGCAGTTTTCTAGGTACGGGCAGGATGCCGTGCGCTCGGACCTGCCCTGTTCTAATGTTTGGCTTGCAAGCAACTAATATATCAAAATTTCGAAATCTTCAGTTTGCCGAGCCACTGCCTTTAATGCTTGGAGAGGCGCCGAGAGTGAGCACGCTGAATTGAGCGGGCTTATCCACCCTCGCAGGAGAAAAACATGGGACCCTCACATACCTTGCTATCAGTCAAGAGTTCTTGATGAGTAGAGTTTACCTTTACCCTCCCCCCCCCATTTCATTTCACTTACACAAAAGTTATTCCAAAGTGATATCTGGTCTTGCAGCTTCATAACTCGACGATTTATTCTTTACAGGAGCAAATCATGGGGGAAAAACTTATTTACGCTTATACTCTCGCAAAATGATCTGCTGCAAGTTACGCAAGTTATACTTAGTAAAAAACTGACCTTGCTCAAATATCATCATCATCGTAACTTCAACTTTGCTGCCTCAGGAATTCCTTTCAACACCAATGTTAGGTTGTCCGGAAATTAATGCAGGTTTTGAATTTCAACCGCAATAAGTCATACACTTCTCATTTCTAAACAGGTCGCAAAGTAAAATTCGTAGAGCAAAGCAAGCCTTACGAAATGGCACTCTTGTTCTAGCAACAGGTCTGATTCACTACAGTTTCGAGCTAAAAACTAAAAAGATTCAACTGCCCGAAAAATTGGGAAAGATCGTAGTTTAGTTCATAAAATCCTACAAAAATTCTAACTTGTTCACGCAAACACTACCCACATAAGACATCTATATACGCCGTTGCCGTACTTTTTTCTCTGTTAGAAATTAAGAAAGCTGTGATTTTCGTGCGTTTGCAAAAATGGTGCTGTGCCGTCCCCACATAAGTAGTTGTATACTACAAATCTATGGAAGTATAAACGTAAATTTTCAGCTCTCTACAAGCTTTAGTTCTCGAGGAATTTGAATTTTAACTTGAACCACCCGACCAGAAAAAGCTATATACGATATTTCTCGAGAACCGAAGCTTGTAGGGAGCTGAAAACTTAGTTTGTACTTCTACGATTTGCAGCATGCAACCACTTATGTGGGGACAGCACAGCGTCACTTTGGTAAATGTACGAAATTTTCCGTTTTTTTGGTTTCTAACAGAGGAAAAATACGGTAACGACGCATATAGACGCTTTATGTTGATAATGTTTACATGAGCAAGTTAGAATTTTTGTAGGATTTTTTTGAACTAAGTTACGACTTTCTTCGATTTCTTAATAAGTTCGACTTGAGGTGGATGAAAGCTCTTATAAAAGCAAGATCGCCTTCTTGTAGAGCTTGCTTTGCTCCATCGAATGCCATTTTGCAACCTATTTGACAATGAGAAGCGTATGACTTATTGCGGTTGAAAATCGAAACCTGCATCAATTTCTGGACAACCTAATATTCTTAACATTACATTCTATATGTTTATTCTGCTTCAAGTGGAACAATTAAACAACAAGTTCTTCCACTGTACTCCATAGATACCGACATAACCTTTGATTTAACTAGCTTGGCTTTGGGAAGGAGGAACTTTATGACTTGATTGAGGTCGCTCGCGCCCGCAATGCACCCTTGTCTCTCTCGCGCGAGTGCTCTCTGATCATTACCTAACCTTGATCAAGTCACAAAGCCTCGCCTTTCCGAAGACAAGTTCTTTTCACAAATGTACGTAATAAGGTTGACTGTGACTTTGTTCTATTCGTTGTAACTCCTTAATTCCAGAAAAAGAGAACATGGCGGGCTACGTTTCCAGAACTTTTTTTAGAAAGCACATTTGTCATCAGATTTTCTACGAAGCTCATTATCGACGAGCAAATAAGTCACTTGCACAAATTCATGACTCATATAGCTACGTGAAATACCTATGCTGATGATGACTAGACAAATAGTCTGCGAGATTTTGTGTCATTGCCTCTGGTGAACTCGCCGCTTAGTCGTCCCCGTTCAACTCTTTAAGACGGTGATCTGGTCCACAAATGCAACTTGTCGGATTTGTGTGCACGCCGCTTGGGGTAGGCCATAGACTTCCCGAATCACTTTATTTTATTTGTCTTGTTTAATACGCTCTTAGCGTTTCTTATAAAAGAACGAAGAACATACAATCAATCATACTACCGCAACGAAGCTCCAACCTTTCGGAGTGTTTTAGTAGTGTGATGAAAGCTTATATGTAAATGCTCTATAACTATAATTATTAGAACTAAAATTTGCTTCATGGAGATGGTACTCATAGTACCCACACCCCCTTTTTGCCAGCAAAACGATCTTAATTCTAACAAGCAAACAAGGTTTGTTGATAGATACAGTCTAACATCACCCTAAACGCCAGGGAGAGTCCAACGAACTTTAAGTGAATGGCAATATGGGTTTAGTGGATAACTCATATGTGAGTGGGAAGATTAAGTTAGGTAATCATGGAGATGGTAATCATGACAACTTGTTTGCCAGCAAAAAATGCTCCAGTGATAAAAGCAAAACGGGTAGAGTTTAATGACCCCAAAAAAGTATCAGTAAAGTTTCACTTTTTGTAATTCAGCTAGAAAGTCAACAAGCTGAGTGAATAAGAAGAGCAGCGGATTCATTAGACCTAAACTTGGTTTTTATAGCTTACTAAGAATCACAGCGTTCTTGCTGTGTATAGCAGTTTTCGTGCATCAGAAAATGCGTATTGTTAACGTCAAACAATTGCAGCATTTATTCATCTTCAAAACCGAAACGTCATTGAAATTCGACTATTTCATAATTATCTTCAACACCAAACATAGATGTGTCGAATGTCCTGCATTCTTCTTTGCATTCTTCCCCGGTTTCATAAAGTGTTGGATATGTCTCGCAAAATAGCTTGCACTGAAATTACATAAGTAATCTATGAGAAACTAGACTTCATTACAAACTTAGAAAAGTCAAACCTCCTTATTTCTTAATTTTCTCGCGGCCGCAAATGCGAGAACCATGAGAACAAGGAAGAACAACGATTTGAACTGCATCTTTCACTAAACAAAAATTAGACAATTGACGTTTTGATCTCGCAACACGCTCGGCTTAGTCTCCTTTTCAACTTAGAAAAACTTTTTTGTAGTTTGTTTTTTAAGCTAAGCTTATGAAGATAAACTAACTCAAACTAAAAGTTGATTCTTCGACACATGTCTTATCTTGGAGAAAATCAGCACAGACTTTTGAAGGAAGTTACCACATTGGGATAACCAAGATTCTATATTTTATGTCTTGTGCATTTTCTCCCCCTTGCATTTTCTCCATTTTCTCCCGCTTCATTGTGATGCAAAAAGAGTGATTTTTTCTGTGCCATCATTATAGGTGATTATACGGTTCTATAAATGAAATGGTTAAAATCATTTGCTCAGTTGCTCTTCATAAAATCGGCTTTCAACGCCTTTTTACCAGCAGCAAGTAAACTGCAATACCCTATCTCAAAATGATGACGCTAAGAAGGAGATATTTGGAGCTAACACGCAAGCTTTTATGCAAAATTAAAATTAAAGAACAAAGAAAGTCTTACCAACAATTTGGTCTGTGACGGTCTGTGGTGAATATGGACCATGCTCCATTATATATATATCAAACTAAATTGGTTCATCCTCTCATTAGTGATACAATAAGGACAAATCTGAAAGAAAGGATCTAACCATTCGCTGACCGCATAATAGTTATTTATATGGAAAACAGGTGCGCAAACTGCAACTTACACTTTTGAGAAATGTTTAGCGCCCCTCACAAAGCGCTAATCATCATAGCTGCTGCCTGTTTGCATATTACCAATCTTCTTATTGCCTTCATTTGATATTTGATATTCCCCCTATTTGGTCTGTGAATTAAACAATAACTGCTGTTCTTTATTTTACACCTGAGTAAACTTACACTTCTTCACACCTATTCTGTTTTTTATACTGTCTCTTCGATTTATTCAGAGAAACTAAGCTTAACATCATAATGTATGCAAAGATACCATGTGCATTTGAACGCCAATTTATTGATGTTTACGCTTTCAAGCGATTTCGGTTGTGGAATTTGGAACGTTTTCAGTTCTGGTCGTTCAAAGGCAGTGGCTCGGGATAATGGCGACTGGGCGCTTTTCACAACTACAAGGCCATCTGGACCAGCTGAGTCAGGCACTGTGCTTGAAATGTCAAAAAAACTTTCCTTTTTTAGTGTTTACCGGCCTTGCAGATTGCTGGAGAGGCGGGGCGAGGGATTCCCGCCATAACCGGCAAGTGACTGCAGGATACGGTAACTTCACCTATTTTGGCGCAATCGGTTGATCAACCGAGGCAATCAATGCGATACAGCTGACGGGAATCTCTCGCCCCGCCTCTCCAGCAACGTCCAAGGTTGGAAAACCCAAAAAATCACTTTTTTGACTTTTCAAGCACAGTCTCTGTCTCAGCTGGTCCAGAAGGCCATGTACTCAGACAATCGCCGGGGGCAGGCGGGCACCGGAAAAATAGATTGCTGATCTCTCGCACCCCGCTCGCGGATTTTTTGGAAAGCAATCAGGACTTTTCGGAAGACCGCTTGCTGAGTTCTCGATTCCTCAGAGATTCAGCAATATATCTGCAAAAGATAAGAGCGAAAAAAATTCAACAGGCGGTCTCTCAAAAATCCGCTGATTCAGCAAGCGGTCTTCCGAAAAGTCCTGATTGCTTTGCAAAAAATCCGCGAGCGGGGTGCGAGAAATCAGCAATCTATTTTTCCGGTGCCCGCCTGCCCCCAGCGATTGTCTGAGTAGTTGTGGAAATCCCCACTCTGATTTTCCCGAACCGCTGCTTTTGATGGTAGCAAAATCTTTCCGCTTTATGCAAATGTATTAGTTCGGTCAGTGAATCGTGCTGCTTCGCAGACCTATTTTTGAATCACCCAGGGCAATAATATAGAAACGCTCTAAACGGTGTTCAATGCAATTTTCTTCGTTCTGGCTGCGAAATCGTTTCCAGTTCTTCAGCAATCACTCGAGTAATCACCAAAATCCCCAATCCATGGTTTCATCTACCCTTATGAATATTTTCTAAAAGTTTCACTGGAGATTTTCGGAGAAGCTTATAGGTGCTTTTTGGTTGTAATCAAAAGGCTTTATAAACAAAATCATTGCAATTTTTGTTTCTGAGCGCGTACTAGTCTACCAGAAAATTCTGAATTTATTCATTTATTTATTTGGTACGCCCGAAGGCGTGCTTCGTACATCCCGAACAATTATCAAAACAACCTGTGCAAGCTAGACAAAACACAAAAAAAAAGGAAAGGAAATAACAACATCGTGGTACCGTAATAATGAATCGGTCATCCGCATATAACGCGGTTTACTTTGCACTCAGTGGAAGGAGGAGCATTCAAAGCCAGAGACGCAAACAAATGCGAAAAAGAATGTTAAAAATCAAAAATATTGATCAACCTTCTCCCACCCCCTCAAGACAACCACCTGAAGCCCTGGGGACGGACCGGAAGCTCGGCGCCCGGCTATACTGGCAGCCCCCGCCAGACTAGCCGAAACGGGTGCACTGGCAGGGGGCAGCCAGTACCACCGCCCGCCGATACCCCCGCTCCTCCCCACAGACCCCCAATGGCTGACCGAAGAGGCGAAAGAAGGCAGAGCAATATCAAAAGTATTCACAGGAGTAGCATCACAACCATTGTAGTGCAAAGAAAAAAAAAATCCAGAAAGACCAGATCACATCGAAGATCCGAAAGAGTAAAATGAGAAGAAAGACTATTTAGTCAACAAAAAAAAAATACTGAACCCGAACTGTGAGGTTCATGAAAGAGGTAGGAAAAGTGAGAGAGGTAGTTTAACCTCGCTAACTGCAGGTCGGAAAACTATACTATACAACTATTGAAACTCATGTGGAGAATGATCGACACAACGAACAAGAGAGCTATTCCACGTCCCGTATGCCTAGCACTTGCAGAATGTCCATTTTACGAATGGCGTTTTTGAAGCATGCTGAATTTTTTAAGCGTAAAAGAGTAGTTGGTAAACGTTCCAGCCATTTGGCGACTCTGAAAAAGAACGAACTCGTACACCTGAGACGGTTTGAGCTGGGTAACTTTAGTCGAAAGGCAAAACCGCCGTTACGCCCGTACACCGGACGAAATGACCAATAGCTAGAAGGTCTCAGTCTAAGCTCGCCTCTAAGAAGTTTGAACGCTAAGATCAAGTCAGCTTCTACCCTTCTGTAGAAAAGACTCTTGAGGTTCAACTCGCGTAAACGAATCTTATAAGGGGGTAAATTTTGCGGATAGCCTGGGTCAGGGAAGGCGCGGTAATAGAGCACTCTAGTAAAAATCCTCTGTACATTCTCGATTTTATTAATTTCTTTGGAACGGTAAGGGCTCCATACAGGACCACAGTATTCAAGTAATGGCAGAACGAACATTTTGAAAAGCTTGATTCAAAGAAAAATATCCGAGCTCATCACATTTCGAAAAAGACAATGCAAAACTCTCAGACCCTTGGCCGTCACTGCGTCAACATGGTTCTCAAAATTCAAGCCCTTGCCGACTAGAACGCCAAGATCCCGCACTTCCCTGCCCGTTAACATGTTTCCTAGCTCATCGTTGCAAACGTTCAATGTAAGAGGTCCAATAGGGAGGTGCTGACTTTTGCGAAAATTGAGTTTGAGATTCCAGAAATTGGTCCAGTGCAACATGCGTTCGACAGATTCAGTCAGCGCCAGCTGAACTGCCTCTTTTTCTGTTTCACTATAAACCGCAGTGACTTTGATGTCATCAGCGTATGCATGGACAAAAATTCTCGTATCGGTTTTTAAGAACGCAGGTAAATCATACGTATAAATGAGAAATAGTATGGGCGACAGTATCCCTCCCTGCGGAACGCCCGATAAGCATTCCCTAGGGTAAGAAAAGTCTTGAGAGAAGCGCACTATCATCTTTCTGTCCGTGAGATAAGAACAGAACCAATCTAGCAGATTGCCTTCTATGCCTATACTTCGCAATTTACCTAAAAGGCACTCGTGACAAACAGTGTCAAAAGCTTTACTAAGGTCAAAATAAACTACATCCACACCTTTCCCTTCACCTAGTGCCTTATTCCAAAGATGCAAGCAATCTATCAACTGTGAGCAGGTGGAGGATCCTGCTAAGAAACCGTGCTGTTCTATGGGAATAAGGTTCAAGTGATCTAACCAATTAAGCAGATGTTTCTTAATGATCCTCTCAAGAACTTTTAGTGATGCAGGGAGAATACTGATCGGGCGGTAATTGGTGACAGTGGTAGACTCATTCCCTTTTGGGATCGGTGTCACCACTGCAGCTTTCCAAGGTTTAGGTACCTCCCCTGTCATAAGAGAAATGTTGAAAATGTGACTAAGGGGAACGGAGAGATGCGTGGGAAATATTTTGTAAAAAACCTGCGGTATGCCGTCAGAAGTAATCGACTGTGACGTTTTCAGGGTTTTGATTTGTTTAGCAACCATTTCGGGAGTGATAACAGGCAGCCTTAGGCTTTCATCAGTCACTTTCGCCAGGTTACTTCTGCATTCCATATGGGAAGTAAAAGTACTGCGAAAGAAACCAGCAAAAGCCTCCGCTTTTTCAAAATCTGTACTGCAAAAAGATCCATCCTCACATATGAGCACTGGGTGAGAGACTGACCGCTTTGTCCTGTCCTTGATATAAGAAATGATCCCCTTCATGTATTTAGTCTTGGCGAGCAATCTGGTTTTTTATGGCATAAACTTCTTCAAATGGTGCTCAAGGTTCTGACTGACAGTTTTAAAAGTTACGCAGTGCAAGGGGTCACGAGATTGTTCAAATATTCTTTGCCTTTGTTCAAAAAGATTTCGAATGTGGTCAGGATACTTTCCTAACCCCTGCCTGCGACTTTTCCGTGGTACATATTGATCAATGATTCCATGCATGATACGAAGAAAACGAGTGTAGACATCATCAATGTCCAAAAAATCATCGAAAACCTCGAACCAGTCAATAGAAGATAAAATAGTTTTAATCTGATTTATTTTGGC